TACTATGGGGGATGAATTACTATAGGGGGGATGAATTACTATGGGGGATGAATTACTATATGGGGGGGGAATTACTATGGGGGATGAATTTACTATGGGGGGATGAATTACTATGGGGGATGAATTACTATATGGGGGACGAAATTACTATATGGGGGATGAATTACTATGGGGGATGAATTACTATATGGGGGATGAATTACTATGGGGGATGAATTACTATATGGGGGAATTAATTACTATGCTTACTATGGGGGAATATTACTATACTTACTATGGATGACACATACACATCATTCATCTACTCTTGGTCCGGCCCCCGGGTCCAATATATGAACCCATTGCGGCCCTCAAGTCAAAAAAGTTTGCCCACCCCTGCATTAGATACTGAAGAAAAAGAGCATAAGTTCCAGGGGAACAAGCTGCCACTGATCCTATATATGCAGATGTAGTGGGTGACTGCGTTGGGTGGGAAGGAGGATAAAAAATAGAAGTGTCTCAAACAGGGGCGGACTGACAAACTCATGGGGCCCCCAGGCAATAGGGGATCATGGGGCCCCTGTGTCCTTGCCCAAACTCAAAAAAGCTTATGAAAAAGGTACCAGGGGCATCTCATGGGGCCCCCTACTGACCCCGGGCCCTCAGGCAGTGCCCGAGTTTTCCAAATGGTCAGTCCGCCCCTGGTCTCAGATACTTAATAGTTCCTTGAACATGTATCAACAGGTTCCACAGGCCTGCTGAACTGGCCAGGCTATCTTACACTCATACCCAATGTGGTGGGGTGCTCTGCCAGCTGGAGGAGTGAGCTGCAATGTATGTTCCTGTGCCTGCTCTCCTTCACCCCCCCATTTTTTCTCCCCCTCTGATCACTGCATTGTGTTTGGAGCAGGATGTGCAGAAGTGTGTATGGGGGAGGGGATTTGCGCATGCATCTGCATTGAATTCCCAAGGATCACTATTCAAGTCAGTGAATGGGGGCTGCAGATTATGTTACCCAGAAAGCCCTGAATACAGAGGAGGACAGGAACAGACTTTTCCCGGGCCTTGGGCTACAGATTAGGGCTTTTGCATTGCGGGGAGCAGAGAGTGCAGGCCTGTCACTGGGATGTCTGTGCCCACAAAAGAGAGCCTGATGGCAGAGTCACTGAATGGTCTTTTGCTTGCTGAGACCTGAGCTGGAGGGACCTGTTGCCATGTGTGTGCCTACAGCAAGGGAGAGAACTGATGAGAGTCTGAGCCCTGGAACTGAGCCTTGCGAGGACCTGATCATGAGGGCTGATTCAGTGGGCCTGGATTCTTGAGGTGGCAGAATAAATGACAATATCAATAAATTGCTCAAAATAGAAAAAAATGTGAAGTTATATTTACAGATGTGTTTTTTGTTCTGGGTTGTTGAAAGGAGGGTAATGCTGGCAAGCATATATGCAATCTTTAAACAGAAACCACAGATAATATATGTAAGCTTCTGGAAACTATGCATCACAACTGTTCTGGTTATGAAAAAGATAAGTACAGTGATACCTTGGTTCACAAACTTAATTCGCTCCATGACTCTGGTCGCAAACTGAATTGGTCACGAACCGAGGCAAATTTTCCCATAGGGTTACAATGTAAATGAGGTTAATCCGTTCTGACCCCTGCAAACGTGGTCGTGAACCGAATTTGGTCGCCAACCAAATCAAATTTTCCCATAAGGTTCAATATAAGTAAGGTTAATCCGTTCTGAACTTTTCAGAAAAAATATGAAACAAAGTACAGTACAGTATGAAGGGAGAGTACACTAACCTTGCTTGAGATGACTTCTGGTGTGGAGGACAGGAAGGCGGGTGGGAGGCAGTTATTGTTCGGAGAGTCCCTCTCCATAAAGACATTAGGGAGATCTGCTTCAGGTTTTTCCTCTCTTCTTTTTCTCTTAGCTGCAGGCTCAATTTTTGGTGAAAAATCTGTCCAATGTCATTTGTCTTTTTCTGCCCTGCATAACCCTCCAGAAATGAGAGACCATGTCATCATTCATCAGATTCAACACTCTGTTGGTTACAGTTATGTTGGGGTGGTGCTTCTCAAAAAAATCTTGGCACTCATTCCATTTTTCCATAATAGATTTTATGGCGTCACTGCTACCTCTTCCCTGTCTTCCTCATCCTCAGTGGAATGCTCCTCAATAAGTGCCTTCTGCTGCTCACTGTGGAGTTCAGAAGGTTCTTCCATGGTCAGCTCCTTCTTATGTTCCTCAACAAGCTCCTCTATGTCTGCACCATCGATGTCCAGACCCATACTCTTGCCCATGGACACAATCTCCTGCACAATCTTGTCACCTTCATTACCGCTCCGCACTTTCTTCTTACCACCATGTTTGGACTGAATTTTCTTTGGAGCCATACTGGATGTCAGTACAGTATGTGCTATAAAGCACACAAAAAAGCTTTACAGCAAGTGTGCACAGGGATGTACAGTACTGTACAGTATGTGCTAAAAAAGCTTTGCAGTACCGTATACATTATCAGTACACAATACATTATCAGTGTCTGTCCGTACCGCGATCTCGCCTACAGGTAGTCATGACCACGTGTCAACCCAAAGCGGAGCTCACGAACCGAAGCAAATTTTTGCGAACGCTTCTGTTCGCGAACCAAGTTGTTCATGAACAGAAGCGTTCGTGAATCGAGGTATCACTGTATAGAGCTTTGCTAAACCCACGGCATATATTCAGCAAGACCAAATGCAACACATTTACAATTACATGAACAAAATCCCCATTTCTGGTCCACATCATAATCCAATGTTGTAGCACACCAGAGGACGACCATCAGATGTTCCCTCACTAGTACAGTCCGTATACCACTTGGACTTGTACCTAAATGTCAAGGCACAGGGCTGGCCATTAGCATTTCCACCTACAGTATAGATCACTGTGGAAAAAAAGTATAACAGAGTTACCTAGCAAAGGAAAATAATATCCAGAAGTCCTTCTCTATAAACATAATGAATACAATAATTGATTAAGGTAGAGTAAAAAGAGTATTACCATGAGGAATTCTATATTAACTATCTTTTTTTTTTTCAGTTTAGAAGAATCATGACTGCTGAGAAACTACAGGCGTAAACTGGCCATACATATCTGTAAAAAGAGTAACAGACATGTTCGTTTTATTCCAAATCAAAATTTAGCAGAATTTTTCATTATTCGGACATTCGTATGTATCTGAATTTCCAAATTACAATAGTAACAAATTTAAATGAATCTAAAATAACAAAATTCGAATTCGTATTGAATTTGAATCAAATTTGAAAATGAATTTGAAATCAAATTCAAAAACAAGAATAGAACAAAATAGACTAGAAAAAAATCGAAGAGAATACAATAGAAAAGAATAGAACAGAATAAAAAAAAACAATAGAATGGAATAAAAATAGAAAGTATATAACCATATTCTGAAATTGAATTTCAAATAAAATAAATTTGAATAGAAAAAATAGAATAGGAAAAAACAATAGAATAGCTTATGTTACAATTTAAATATTATAACTGTAGAATAGAATAAAAATAGAAAGCATATAACCAGCTTCCGAAAAATCAAATTTCAAATAGAATAATTTGAATAGAATAGAAAATAATAGAATAGAAAAAAAATAGAATAGGTTATGATAATATTTTAAATAATATAGCTGTCTTCCAAAATGCAAATTTTGGATAGAATAAATTCGAATTTGAATAGAATAGAAAAAAAATAGAAAATTGGAGAATAGAATAGATTGAAATAGAAAAAAAAATTAGAATAGAATATAAATGTCTTCTGAAAATGCGAATTTTGAATAGATATACATTCAAATTAGAATGCAGATTCAATACTTATTGATTTGGTCGAATTTGAAAATTAATTCCGAAAATGAAATAAATGAATATCACTAAACAAAAGTATTTAAATAATGGATCGAAATGACACACATTTTCTCATTCTGCACTTGTCTAAAGAGCAATAATATGAGAAATCCCGTATCAACCATCAGACCTTTTTTCTATGTAGAAGAATCCTGACTGCTGAGAACTCTAGGCTGAGCTATCTGTAAACCAATTATACAACATTTTGAGCCCTGGCCAATTCATACACAAGACAGTTTGCAATGGAGGGGACAAGCCGGAGCTATACTTGAATAAAACAGCATATTTATTAGCCAACATCCTTAATAAACCAACATAAATTGACAGATTGTGAACACCCAAAAACTATTACAACATGCAGTATATATTCATTCCATTGGTTAGAGACCTGTCTTCACCACAAGGACAGGTGGCCAACTAACCAACTCTCAGAGGACTTAAGCTTGGATCCCTTTACAGCTGGTAGGGTAAAAAAAAGGACAAAAAAGAGGTTATGACTTCAAAAGGGAGGGACAATCCCAAGCCATTGATCGGCATAATTATTAAATATCATATTGTTATAAGACAGAGGAAGAAGACAGTTACTGAAGACTCTATCTGATCATTTTTTCAATTACAGATTCTTTACACATAGTAATCGCCTTTCATTGAAATGAAATTGGTGCTTTGGGTTACATTGTGACTCTTTATCATGTGCAAAAAAAAAATTAAAGAGATACTAAATGCTCATTTTCTTAAATTATAGCCCGGACCCTGCATCCACTCTATCTGGTCTCCCCCGGACCCCGCACTCACTATATCTGGTCTCCCCCGGACCCTGCACTCACTATATCTGGTCTCTCCCCGGACCCTGCATTCACTATATCTGGTCTCCCCCGGACCCTGCATTCACTATATCCGCTCTCCCCGGACCCTGCATCCACTCTATCTGGTCTCCCCGGACCCTGCATTCACTCTATCTGGTCTCCCCGGACCCTGCACTCACTATATCTGGTCTCCCTGGACCCTGCATCCACTCTATCTGGTCTCCCTGGACCCTGCATTTACTATATCTGGTCTTCCCGAAGCCTGCATTCACTATATCTGGTCTCCCCGGACCCTGCACTCACTATATCTGGTCTCCCCGGACCCTGCATTCACTATATCCGGTCTCCCTGGACCCTGCACTCACTATATCTGGTCCCCCCGGACCCTGCATTTACTATATCTGGTCTCCCCGGACCCTGCATCCACTCTATCTGGTCTCCCCGGACCCTGCATTCACTATATCTGCTCTCCCCGGACCCTGCATTCACTATATCCGGTCTCCCCGGACCCTGCATTCACTATATCCGGTCTCCCCGGACCCTGCATTCACTATATCCGCTCTCCCCAGACCCTGCATTCACTATATCCGGTCTCCCAGGATCCCGCATTCACTATATCTGGTCTCCCCGGACCCTGCATTCACTATATCTGGTCTCCCCGGACCTGGCATTCCTTATATCCGGTCTCCCCGGACCCTGCATTCACAATATCTGGTCTCCCTGGACCCTGCATTCACTATATCCGGTCTCCCTGGACCCTGCATTCACTATATCCGGTCTCCCACAGTACACAGAACATGCAAATGCAATTATTTTACTAAATATAAACTGCTAAATACCTTTTCTCATCAGCAGTTAAAGCAGTCTTGTGACTTCTATCAGTGTCCAGCGAGCACTGGTTAATCTTGTAGGAGGAGTTTTCATTCTGCTGTAGGAGGATGCAGAACCCCCTGACCTCTGTCTGGACAGCGCTGATTGACCCTGTACCGATCACATGCACTCTCCCAAGAAAAGTAAAAAAAACCTCTCTAGCAATAAACACTAAACTGAGCATGTGCAGAGTGACTCCACATGATATGTCTTATCAGGAGATAAGAGGGGGGCACTGGAAGAAGGGAAGGATCAGAGAAGTCAGGATCAAAAAGCCTTTTTACACAATGCAGATGATTAACCCCTTAGGTTCCACAGTGAGTATAACAAGCACGCTTTACTGCATATACAGACTGATTGTACTGTTGTGGGTTTAGTAACAATTTAAATTAAAATAACAAACATGTTTATACTCACATGCCCTGTGTAATGGATTTGCACAGAGCAGCCTCGATCCTCCTCGGCTCTCCCACCTGTGCTCCTGGTCCCCCCCCCCCCTTTCCCGCTGAGTGCCTCCATAGCAAGCTGGGTAATCACCAGCTCACGCCCCTCAGTCCCGATCTGTAGCTCCTCACACCCCACCCACTGTGAGGATGACGTTGGTGGCTGAGTGAGAGGCCCAGAAGAGGATACCCAGCCTTGGCATGGCTGCGGTCCGGACAGGACTGTTTTTTTTCGGTCTGGTTCAAGACCGCGGTCCACCATTTAGTGACCACTGAGCTATACCATAAAAGTAATAAAATATAACAAGACAAGTTATAAAATACTGAAGGTTACCTGCGAATGTACCAGGCTACTGACTTTTCATTAGTTCTGTGTCACTTAAAATGTTCTGCTACCATGCTTTATTATGTAACTAATATGTGGCTAACCTATTGCAGATGTATACTATGCAATGCAATATACTATATGGATATTCTATATTTTTCCTATTTTACAATAAAAAGATTGAACAAGAAAATACTGAAGGTTACCTTGGAGGACACACTGAGCACCAGTCACTTTAAGGACTATTTTGCACCAGTTGTGTGTTGGCACCAGTCCCTTTAGGGACTAATTGCAATATTTGTGTGATGGAACTGTTTGGAGCCCCTAACTCATTTTGCTAGATATGCATTTTTTATTGTTAATCGCATTTGAGATTTAATAGAATAGATAATAGTATTATTGGTTCACAGAAGACTTTTATTGGGCATGTTAACACTTTGAGCCTTGTATATGTACTGGAAAAGTGTTGCTCCATCTTGTTCTATGACCTATATTTTTAGAAAAAATATAAACTACTTATAGGGGGGGGAGGGGGCAGGGGATTCGTTCTCCCCCTCCTGGTCCCCTGATGCTTCCCCACAGCCTAGGATGGCATAGATGGTTCACCCACACAGTGTATGGGTTTTATGTAATGTATAAAATCAAACAGTGCAGTGCTAAGGAGAAGATTATAATTCTAGAGATCGAGAAGATGATGTGTCTCCTCACATATATCTCAATATATATACAGATGATAAAATAAACATATAGAGTTCCAATCAAGTGACTGTGGTGAATCCTGATCCGTCAGAAAAAAGGTGCAGACTAGAGATGAGCGAATTATTCAAAAATTCGATTCGGCTGATTCGCCGAATTTCAGGAAGAAATTCGATTCGATGCGAATTAATTCGCTACGAAGTTAACTTATAAAAAGGGTTTCTAGGCTTCAGAGAGCCTTTAAATTAGTGCAGAACACTGTACCTTTAATTTAAATGCCCTTGGAGATGAGGAAGGAGAAGGAGAAGGAGAAGGAGAAGGATGAGAAGAAGGAGAAGGAGAAGGATGAGAAGAAGGAGAAGGATGAGAAGAAGGAGAAGGATGAGAAGAAGGAGAAGGATGAGAAGAAGGAGAAGGAGAAGGATGAGAAGAAGGAGAAGGATGAGAAGATGGAGAAGGAGAAGGATGAGAAGAAGGAGAAGGATGAGAAGAAGGAGAAGGATGAGAAGAAGGAGAAGGATGAGAAGAAGGAGAAGGAGAAGGATGAGAAGAAGGAGAAGGATGAGAAGAAGGAGAAGGATGAGAAGAAGGATGAGAAGAAGCATGAGAAGAAGGAGAAGGATGAGAAGAAGGATGAGAAGAAGGAGAAGGATGAGAAGAAGGAGAGAAGGAGAAGGATGAGAAGAAGGAGAAGGATGAGAAGAAGGATGAGAAAAGGAGAAGGATGAGAAGAAGGAGAAGGATGAGAAGAAGGAGAAGGAGAAGGATGAGAAGAAGGAGAAGGAGAAGGATGAGAAGAAGGAGAAGGATGAGAAGAAGGAGAAGGATGAGAAGAAGGAGAAGGATGAGAAGAAGAGAGAAGAGAGAAGGAGAAGGATGAGAAGAAGGATGAGAAGAAGGAGAAGGATGAGAAGAAGAAGGATGAGAAGAAGGAGAAGGATGAGAAGAAAGAAGGAGAAGGATGAGAAGAAGGAGAAGGATGAGAAGAAGGAGAAGGATGAGAAGAAGGATGAGAAGAAGGAGAAGGATGAGAAGAAGGACAGTTCTGTGACAGTTTCTGTCTATTTCTGACAGTTCTGTGACATTCACTCCATACAGCGGTTTCAACCGCTGTATGGAGTGAATGTCACAGAACTGTCAGAAATAGGCTATTTCTGACAGTTCTGGGACATTCACTCCATACAGCGGTTTGAAACATTGTATCTATTTGTTTCCATAAATGGATCCATTTATGGAAACAAATAGATACAATGTTTCAACCGCTGTATGGAGTGAATGTCACAGAACTGTCAGAAATAGCGGAGCTCTGCAGATACACTTAGAGGAGCTCTGCAGATACACTTTTTGCCGGCTTGGAATTATTCTTATTTTCATCCTACTTCTTCTTCTTCATCCTCATCCTCTTCTTCTTCTTCTTCTGAGGATGAGGATGAAGAAGAAGAAGAAGAAGTAGGATGAAAATAAGATTAATTCCAAGCCGGCAAAAAGTGTATCTGCAGAGCTCCTCTAAGTGTATCTGCAGAGCTCCTCTAAGTGTATCTGCAGAATAGAGGAGCTCTGCAGATACACTTTTTGCCGGCTTGGAATTATTCTTATTTTCATCCTACTTCTTCTTCTTCTTCTTCATCCTCATCCTCTTCTTCTTCTTCTGAGGATGAGGATGAGGATGAAGAAGAAGAAAGAAGTAGGATGAAAATAAGATTAATTCCAAGCCGGCAAAAGAATAGAGGAGCTCTGCAATACACTTTTTGCCGGCTTGGAATTCTTCGCCTGGTTCGATTCGCTCATCTCTAGTGCAGACAGTGGTGTAGGTAATGCGCATATTAATTGCGCCTTTTACGTATAAATCCTGGTGTCATCTGATGAGGCCTGGAGATGAATGGTCTTCCCTCCAAGGAGTGGGTCATCAAATGTGGGCACCGTAATTCAGGTATCAGGGTATCCCTTATTCCTTATGGGGGTGGTCATGCATCGCCTCAGATATCCTTAAGGGGGTGGTAGCCCATCCTGGGATGGTGGGTCTGCGGGTTTAAAAGCACTCCCCTGGCTTTTTCCTTTCAGCATCAAAAGATTAGTTACTCTTCCAAATGGCAGACCTAATGAGATGATTTCAGACTCTGTGACCTCATTTGGAATCTTACGGATGTGGAGAACTCGTGATGGAGAACAAGGGGAGCGATCTCCTTTAAATTTTTTATTGTTCCCATTAGCCATCCATGGCCCGGAGGATGAGGGGATAAAAAAAAAATAAAAGAGAAAGATAGAGGGAAGGTGGTGGAGAGGCAGAGAGCAGAAGAGACCAGTGCAGAGCAGAGGGAAGAGGCGGGGCTATATACTTTATGTAATGTATGTTTATGTTATTATACATAAATGTTTATAAAAGTGTTTTTTTTTTTCCGTTATGGTGGACAGTTATGTATATCTTCTCTTGAGGCTCATTATATGGGGTGTATCGTTCGATTTTTATTTTGTTGTTTGTTGACTATATTGATTACTTTGTTTATTGACATGTAATTTTATAGTTTTGTCTTTCTTGTAGATGGTGTGACGGGAGTCACTTTGAGTGGGGGGCCTATGGAACCCAGCTCACTTTGGAGAGGTGGGGAGACCCCTGACTTAGCTCCCCATATCCCTCTTATGTGTAAGTCACCCTGTGCCTGTTAGGGGTACAGGGTGATCTGTCCTAATATTGTGTGGACATTGTCTCAGACTATGTAGACATGTTTAGGAGATAGGTGGGGTGGGGGTTGTTGATTGTTTGATGTTATGTGGTTAAATCCCATTGTTTTTATTGTGTGTCTGGCTTGGGAGCAAAATATTATGGATGTATGTGTTTATGTGTATTAGTTTAGTGGGGGGGGGGGGGGCCCAGCAGCCCTCCCTCCTGATGGGACTGTCTGCTGGTGTGAAGTTTGAATACCTTTGTGTCTCTTGTTACTAAATGTAGATTGCCCCACCCTGTGTCATTAGGGCAGGGAGGGGGGATCGTCCCAAGTGTATATATCTTGTATTCATGTTCAAATAAAGTAGTCTACCTTCTGGCTTACTTCAAATCATGTGTCATCTGGATCTTGGGGTAACAATAGCCAGAGTCACTGGTCTCGTGTTCCAGAGCCTGAGAAGCAGCTTCTTGATGGAGAAAAACCCAGTCGTGGGTGTCTGGGGTCCGTTTCAGATGGATTTACTTTTTCTTGTGAATATCCACAAAATGCGTAGACTAGCATCTTAATTAGGATGTGTTTGGTCAGAATTTGTATCTCCAATGATTTTATTATATCAAAAACAGAATTTTAAACATCTGTAATAATGCATTATTAATGATTTTATATATAACTTTGAGAAGAATGTCTAATCTATATTTTCCTAGTAATTATCTATAAAATCCCCTATTATTTTTTTTCTTTATTTTGGTCTAATGTTGGTAAACATATAACTATTCTT